GGCTGTGGCCAAGTGTCTCTGTCTCTGGCACACAGCCCTGCCTGGAGTCTCCGAACCCCGCAGATCCATGAGCATTTCCAGGGGAGTCTCCCCAGGTCTTGTGGGGTCCCCGCTCACAGAGCAGTGACCTGTGCCACGGATCACGGTAAGGTAACCCCGAGTTGAGAGCTCACTCCTCAGCTCTGTCTCTGTAGCTGGCTTCTCTGCTCTAATACCTGTGAGCTCTGTGACACTCAGACACCCCCGATCCTTCTGTGACCCCACAGGACCTGAGACCACGCTGTCCCTGCGTGAGCTTCACCCCTGTTTAGCCTCTGGAGTGATGTCCCTCTGTGGAGCAGACTTTTAAAAGTTCTGATTTTGTGCTCCCTTGCTCCGCCGCTTGCTGGGAGCTGGCCCCTTCCCCCGTGGTCTATCTTCCCGTCGCTTTGGATTCACTTCTCTGCTGATCCTACCTTGCAGAAAGTGGTCGATTTTCTGTTTCTAGAATTGCTGCTCTTCTCTTCGATCTCCTGTTGGATTTGTAGGTGTTTGGGATGGCTTGATAAGCTATCTAGCTGATCTGCTACCTGATGTCCTCTCAGCCTGCTACTTCTCCACCATCTTGACTCCTCCTGAATTATAACTTCTTAAAACAACTATTCACTAGAAGCTTTTATTTATTATGTTTATTTTATTTTATTTTTAAAAGATTTTATTTATTGATTTGACACAGAGAGAGAGAGATCACAGACAGAGAAGCAGGCAGAGAGAGAGGGGCAAGCAGGCTCCCTGCTGAGCAGAGAGCCCGAAGTGAGGCTCAATCCTAGGACTCTGAGATCATGACCTCAGCCAAAGGCAGAGGCTTAACCCACTGAGCCACCCAGGTGCCCCTATTTATTATGTTTTAAAGATTTTATTTATTTATTCAAGAGAGAGAGTGTGCATGTACAAGTGGGAGGGCGCAGAAGGAGAAGCAGACTCCCAGGACCTGGGCATCATGACCTTAGCCAAAGACAGACACTTAACTAACTGAACCACCCAGATGTCCCTACAAGCTTTTTATATACCAATTCAAGTTCAGATGATATAGTATCTGAATAGCATAGTATAGTGTATCTACTATTAATATAATTGTGATTAGAAAGCTGGTATTGGGTAAGACACTGATAATGGTATTTGATAACTTGGTTTAATCAGTATGTAATGATAATGTCTGTTAAAATCTGTGGCAGAGGGGACCCCTGGGTGGCTCAGTCGGTTAAGTGTCTGCCCAGGGTCCTGGGTTTGACTCCTGCATTGGGCTCCCTGCTTGGTGGAGAGGCTGCTGCTCCCTCTCCCTCTGCCTCCTGCTCTGCCTACTTGTGCTCTCTCTCTGTCAAATAAATAAATAAAATCTTCAAAAAAATCTGTGGCAAAGAATTCTTGAGGATTATGTAGTACTTTACTTTTAGCACAATGGAAGGTCCCCAATAGACACACACACACATTTGATTTTGAAAAATTTCAAACCTATGGAGAAAATGCAAATATGCTGCAATTTACCAAATAACATTTGCCACACTTACTTTTTTATGAGCCCTCTATACACACACATTTACATGCACACATGTAATATGTATGTAAGTATGTGAAACTAAAAGGATATATATAAAATTGCTGGATTTTTTTTTCTCATCCGTTGAGAATAAGTTGCATTCATCATGACATATCACCTCAAACACTATATATATCTCCTAATAAGGACATTGTCCAATATAACCTTTACAATTATTATACCCAAGAATTTTAAAATTGATACAATGATGTTATCTAATATATGGTCAATATCTATATTTTCCCAATTGTCCTAATGAGGTTCTTTAGAGCTTTTCTTTTCTTTTTTGTAATCCAGAATCCAGTTATTGATTTTTTTTAAGATTTTACTTATTTATTTACTTATTATTTATTTAGAGAGTGTGTGTGAGTGTAGTTGGGGGAGGAGCAGAGGAAAAGAGAATCTCAAGCAGATTCCACTCCTCAAGCACAGAGCCTGTCTTGGGGCCTGATCCTAGAACCCTAATATAGTGACCTGAGCTGAAACCAAGGGTTGGATACCCAGGCTCCTCCCTGTTGGAGATTTTTAAATATTCACTGGGCTTGGCAAACTTTCCTGTGAAGGGCCAGACAGTAAATATATTAAGTTTTATGGGCTATGTGGGTTTCTATCAAATATTCTTTTTTTTTCTTTTTTCTTTTTTTAGGAGCCCTTTAGAGATGTTAAAAACATCCATAGCTCCCAGGCCCATACCAAAGCAGACTGGGGTAGATTTGACCTGCACAGGACCATAATTTGCTGACCCTTGCTTAGAATACTTTATTAGATTGCTTTTGTTATTTTGTCTTTAATGACATTGATATTTTTAAAAGACTTGGCCAGTTCTTTTGCAGAAGTCTTAATTTGTATTTGCTTGTTTCCTTACATTTAGTTCAGTTTGGTCATTTGTGTTGAAAATATTACATCTTTCTTATAAGATCCTCTTAGTGAATCACTTTTGAAAACTTATTACCTGTTTGTTCCTCAATTCGTGGTATCATGCTTGCTCATTTTAGAGTAAGATGGATTTCCACCAGTTTCCATTATCAAGGCAGTTTTCCTTTTTGTAGTTAATAAGGAATCTGTAATTTTAAGTTAGAGCACTTTCAGCACCCTAGAAGCTTCCTTTGTGCCAAAGTTGCAGTTAAGACTCCCCCAAATTTAACTACTATTTTAACTTCTAAGACCATAGATTAGTTTTGCCTGCTTCTCACCTTACATAAATGAAGCTATTCGCTATGTTCCGTTATGGCATTCTCTGTTATATACAGTTTCTGTGTGTGTGCTTTCATGTAGCAGCACATTTGTAAGAGTCATCCAAATCGTGTGATTTTTCACTAATTTTCTTTATAGAATACCATTATGTTAATATTATACAATCTATTTATCTGTTTATTATTGATGAACATTTGAGTTGATTCCACATTTTAACTATTATGAGTAGTGCTGTTATGAACAGAACAAAAGGTTAAGAACCTTTTGATGAACATAAATACATATATACACCTTTTTGTTTGGTATATAGCTAGGAGTGAAATTGTTGGGTCATGGGGGATATAACTATTTAGATTTACAGAAATGTATGAGAGTTTCAGTTCCATATCTTCACCAACACTTGATATGTTATATCTTTTGATAGGAAGTAACTAATAAAGCCATTCTTCTCTGTTCCCTGGTCTCTGGAGAAAATTTTTTAGTATTTCCCCACTGAGCAACATATTTATTATATGTTATTTGTAGATGTTCTTTATCAGGTTTAGAAAGCTTCCTTCTGTTCCTCGTTTGCCAAGATTTTTAAAAAATCATTAATTAGTATTCAATTTTGTCAAATGCCTTTTCTGTGTTTCTTGAGATGGTCATATGACTTTTCTTATTTTTGTTAATGTAATGATTTTTCAACTATTGAATCATTCATCCATTTACTTGGGTTTATTCTATGAATTTTATTTGTTAATATTTTGTTAAGAAATTTTACATGCATGTTTAAGACATCAGTCTATTTTTAAAATTTTACTTATTTATTTGAGAGAGAGAGAGAGTAGGGTGAGGGTCAGAGGGAGAAGGAGACTCACCAAGCAGGGAGCCTGATGTGGAACTCCATCCTGGGACTCCGGGATAACGACCTGAGCCAAAGGGAGATGCTTAACCAACTGAGCCCCAAGACATTAGTCTATTTTGTGTTCTTTATTCCATGAGTTATTGAGAGTATATTTCCTCCATGCCCAGTGTGGAGCACATGCAGGACTTGAACTCACAACCCTGAGATCAAGAATCAGACGCTTAAACAGCTGAGCACCCAGATGCCCTAAAAGCTCATCTTTTAATACACTTTGTTATTCATCCATCGTGTTTCCATATAAATTTTAGAACTGGCTTGTAATTTTTCATAAAAATTGTTTGGATTTTTTTGGGAAATGTTTTATTTTTTAAATTTTATTTACCAGTTTTATTTTTATATTATTAACGATTGACAAAAACTGTATATATTTAGGTCATATAATAGGATGTTTTGGTATACATATACCTTTAGTGTCACAATCAAGCTAATTAACATATCCATCAGCTCACATATTTACCTTTTTTTGTGGTGAGAACTCTTGAGATCTATTCTAGAAGATTGATATTTTATTATGTTTTGTTTTGTTTTATTTAAATCCAAGTTAGTTAACAGATTGGATTTTTACTAGAATTACATTGACTTTATATGTCAGTTTTTACAGAAGAGACATCTTTACGGTATGGATCTTTGCACATGTTATATAACTTTATTTTAAAAATCTTATTTCTCCATAATTATATTTTCTTATAGAGAGGGCTATCAAAGACTTTAATAACCTGTTAACATTGGAAATATTTTAATTCTTAAGAAAAAACTAGTCATTTAAGTTAACTGTATGTGTGTGGTTGTGTGTGTTTTGATTTGAAATTTTAAAATTTCATACAGATTCATTTGTGAATAAGAAAAGTACTACTTTTATTAATTTTTTATTTTTTAAAAATTTTGTTTATTTTTAAATTTTTAATTTAAATTCACAATTGTTTTCTAGAATACAATTTATTCTACAATTACTTTTCAAAATAAACCTTCTACAGAAATAATTTTGTCACTTATTTCCTCTCAAAATTTTTTTAATCACTAGATTTCAAAATACAATTGAAAAATTCCCCTTGTCACAGTTTACCTTAATACACAGTTATTGTAATGATGAAATATTGTTTATAATGTGTTCCAGCTTTTATAAAACACAAGAATTTTTGTGTAGCCCAGATATCCATTAGGTCACCTTGATATTGTTTTAAAATGAGTAATAATGTTTTAATTGAGTAATAATGTTTTAAAATATATTGTGTTATGACAGGATTATGGTATTCATGGTACAGATAGGGATAATCATTAGACATTTTCCATTTATGTGATGACTTACTGAGATTTTTTTCTCTACAGTTCGAGGCTTTTCTTCAGAAGCACAGTTTGAGAAGTATGTTGAATATGAAAAGAAGCCTATGGTTCGTGTGGTGGCTGCTGTTGTATTTGATCATGACTTCAAAAATAGCGATGACCGTTTGCCACTTCAGGTAAGAAATTTTTGTCTAAAGAATTTATAATTAAATGTTAGGTTTCAGAGGTTTAATGAGATACAGGTAACCTCCCCATTTTATAAATGGGAAAAATTTTAAGTTGCCCCAGATCTTAACTTCTAGTAGATAACAAAACCAGGATTTGAATCCTGTGCCAATTTATTTTATTATATTTTACTTTTAAAAATATTTATATATTTGTCAGAGAGAGAGAGTGCATAAGCAGAGGGAGTGGCAGGCAGAGGGAGAGGGAGAAGTAGGCTGGATCCCAGGACACTGGGATTATGACCTGAGCCCAAGGGAGCTGCTTAACCAACTGAGCCACCCAGGTGTTTCTGTGCCAACTTATTTTAATACCTGTTGTTTTTACTGTGAGGAGAAAACTGTTACCTGCTACCTTATGGTCTTAAATTCAGAAAATAGAGTAATAGGAGCTTTAGTAAGGATATTCACTTTACAAATCTCCCTGGCCAGGCAGATCCTTCCAGTCTTGCCAATGGTCGTTAAGAAAATAACAATGTAGCTAGGTAAAAAAGATGGGTAACAATGTCGTTCCCTGTTCAAATGCCTTCCGGAATTTCAGATAGTGCATATCTGTAATATGATATTTAAACTCTTTAATGAGCTAATTTTAAGTGTAATTGGCATTCTAACTTTGTATCTGAAGTGACTTTCATAACAAAGCTATTATATGAAAGTTAAAAGTAAAAGTAAAAACAAGAACTGAACACTTCACTCATATCTGGATGTCTTTTAAGCTGAGGTAGCTCCCTTTCCTGGGACTGTGAACTCCAGAAGGAGTTTTTATGTCCTCTTATTAGAACAATCCACTTGCTTCTTGTTTTGCTTTGGTGAATGCCCCCTGTTTTTCACTTTGTATAAAGTTTTAATGTATTTGTTTTAGGTCTCCAAAGAGATAATTGCTTTAACTTTCAGAATTCTTGATTATCACTGGTGGTGTGAATGGAAGGTTCTGTAACCCCACCAGTAACTGGTCTGGAGGTCCTTGAAATGTTAAAGTTTGGCCATTAAAAAAAAAAAAGGCATATACATATATACCAACAGAGATTCCAGCATGAAAGACTTATTTCTTTTGAGTGAATTACCTAATTTCTAAATCTCTAGTGTCAGCTTTTAGGGTTTTCCAGCTTGCATCAGAATTAGGACAGACCCCAGGGAAGACTTTGATAACATCCCTTAAGGAGAGAAAATGGATAATGTTCCAACTTTGGTAACTTGGTGTATCTCTTTACCACAAGTTAGAGATGAACCAGCCAAGGTTGAGGGAATGATCAAACTATAGTATTTATGCACAGATTCAAATCCTGTTTAGGATACAAGTGTTTGCTAATGGAAGGAAGGAAAGAGAAAGAAAAATCACTGGTAGGACAGTATGTAGCCTTTCTTTCTGTTCTGTCCTCTCCTCACTTTTCCTAGCTGTGCCTACTTTACACTAATTACAGCATCAGAAGTATATGCTGATGGTGATACAGGTTCATTGGTATATGTAGAGCTTCTGGTTCAAATTTCAAATAACTTTGGTGCGGTACAAGCTTCCATTTTGTTGATGTTTCACTGTGTCTAGCATTTAGAATGGATACCTGACAAGATTTTTCCCCAGGTTATTTCCCTAGGTGCCTGTTCTCTTTTTCCACAGTTTATCAAACAAGATGTCTTACCTGTTTTCTGAGTCTGTGGTCTGCTATACCCTCCCTGACCCCGAAAACCAACTCTTCTGTAACTTAGATGATTTTCCTGGTCAAGACCTCTTTCTACTATAGATACCACAATGATACACCAAGAACACAGAAAAGATCATGTCATTGTGCTGTGTAAAACACTCCAGGGGTTCTCCATGAACTACAGAAGGTCTTTTGTGTGGAATTCAAGGTCATTAGTAACCTGTTTTCTGAATAACCCTTCAGCCTCACGTTACCTCTTTCTTTGAACTTCATGCTCTAGCAATATTGAATCAGTAGTAGTTGTTTGTATATATTATGTGGTCTATTGCTTCTCTGCCTTTGATCACATTATCCTCTTTCCTTTTGATGCTCTGCCTGTCCCTCTTTTTCTGAGTAACTCTTAGTATTAATTTCTATAAAACTTGTGCTGTAAGTATCTATCCAAATTCTCCCCTTCTCTCTTCTGTGCTTCCTGAATACTTGGTCACTTCCTTGAGCTCAAGAATTGTGTATTGATAGTATGTAGCTACTTAAAATGTTGCTTTTGAATTACTGAATTATGTGAATGTTTGCCTAGACTTGGTGCACTTGCCAGTTCCTTCTCAGGCTATTGACTTCTTTCTCTGTTCAGTCTCTACTGGCCTTAGGCAACTGTAGGTTCTTGCTTTGTCAGGCTACTCAGATCTACCATAATTTACCCTGAGGTTGGCTCAGCTCTCTAGATAAACCATCTTCTTTTCATGTAATTTATAAAATATATAGCATTCTACATTTTAATTTTATTAACCCTACTTTCATTATATTTGGGCTTTTTCCTTTTCTGCTAGTCACTTTTTAAGGGGAAGATAATCACTATATCTGGGCTTTTTCCTTTTCTCTTGGTCACTTTTTAGAGGGGGAGATAATCATTATATCTGGGCTTTTTCCTTTTCTGTTGGTCACTTTTTAAAGCGGGAGATAATCTTTACCAATAGTTGGCTAACATAATAGGAAAGAAAATAAATAGAACTGTTGAAGGAGTTAGGCAAGCCAGTTGTGGATGTAGAAAAATAACATTGGTAATCATCCAGGTACCACTGTTGGAATCAATTCTCTAATTTCCCTTTTTATATTTTCATTGTTAGTGGATAAGAACACAACTGATTTCTGTGCTTTGATTTTGTATCTTGCCAATATTATTGAATTGCTGTATGAGTTTTAGTAGTTTGGGGGTGGAGTCTTTTGGGTTTTCCATATAAAGTATCATGTCATCTGTGAAGAGAGAGAGTTTGACGTATTCTTTGCCAATTTGAATACCTTTTATTTCTTTTTGTTGTCTGATTGCTGTTGCTAGGACTTTTAGTACTATAATGAACAAGAGTGGTGAGAGTGGGCATCCCTGTTGTGTTCCTGATCTCGATGGGAGGGCTGTCAGCTTTTCCCCATTGAGGATGATATTCGCTATGGATTTTTCATAGATAGATTTTATGAACTTTAGGAATGTTCCCTCTATCTGTATACTTTGAAGAGTTATGGCACCAAGAACTATGAGATACCTTGGAATAAACCTACCCAAAGAGGTAAAGGATCTGTACTCGAGGAACTACAGAACACTCATGAAAGAAATTGAAGAAGACATAAAAAGATGGAAAAGCATTCCATGGTCATGGATCAGAAGAATGAATTTTGTTAAAATGTCTGTACTGCCCAGAGCAATCTATACTTTCAATGCCATCCCAATCAAAATTCCACTGGCATTTTTCAAAGTGCTGGAACAAACAATCCTAAAATTTATTTTGAACCAGAAAAGACCCCAGATCACTAAGGAAATGTTGAAGAAAAAAAAGCTGGGGGCATCATGTTGCCTGATTTCAAGCTTTACTACCAATTTGCAATCACCAAGACAGCATGGTACTGGCACAAAAACAGACACATAGACCAATGAAACAGAGTAGAGAATATAGATATAGACCCTCAACTCTATGGTTAAATAATCTTTAGCAAAGCAGGAAAAAAAATACCTAGTAGAAAAAAGACAGTGTCTTCAATAAATGGTGCTGAGAAAATTGGACAGCTATGTATAGAAGAATGAAACTCGACCATTCTCTTACATGATACACAAAGATAAACTCGAAGTGGATAAAAGACCTCAACATGAGACAGGAATCTATCAAAATCCTAGAGGAGAACATAGGCAGTAACCTCTTCACATCATCTATGGCAACTTCTTTCAAGACATGTCTCCAAAGGCAAAGGTTTGAACAAAAACAAAAATGAACTTTGGGGACTTCATCAAGATAAAAGTTTCTGCACAGCAAAGGAAACAGTCAACAAAACAAAGAGGCAACTCACAGAATAGGAAAAGATATTTGCAAATGACACTACAGACAAAGGGTTGATATCCAAGATCTATAAAGAACTCTTCAAATTCAACACCCAGAAAATAGATAATCACATCAAAAAATGGGCAGAAGACATGAATAGACACTTCTCCAAAGAAGACATACAAATGGCTATCAGAGACTTGAAAAATGTTTATCAGCATTAGCCATCAGGGAAATTCAACTTAAAAAAACACGTTGAGATACCATCTTACACCAGTTAGAACGGCCGAAATTAACAAGACAGTAAACAACAAGCATTGGAGAGGATGTGGAGAAAGAGGAATGGTGCAAATGTAAGTTGGTGCAGCCACTTTGGAAAACAGTGTGGTGATTCCTCAAAAAATTAAAAATAGACCTACCTTATGACCCTGCAATTGCACTACTGGGTATTTACCCCAAAGATACAGATGTAGTGAAAAGAAGGCCCATATGTACCCCAATGTTCATAGCAGCAATGGCCACAATCACCAAACTGTGGAAAGAGCCAAGATGCCCTTCAACAGATGAATGGGTAAAGAAGATATGGTCCATATATACAATGGAATATTATGTCTCCATCAGAAAGGATGAATACCCAACTTTGTATCAACATGACAGGACTGGAGGAGATTATGCTGAGTGAAATAAGTCAAGCAGAGGGAGTCAATTATATGGTTTCATTTACTTGTGGAGCATAAAGAATAACATGGAGGACATTAGGAGAAGGAAAGGAAAAGTTAATTGGGGTAAATCGGAGGGGGAGATGAACCATGAGAGACTGTGGACTCTGAGAAACAAAGAGGGTTTTGGAAGGGGAGGTGGTTGGGGGAATGGGTGAGCCTGGTGGCGGGTATTAAGGAGGGCATGTATTGCACAGAGCACTGGGTTTGGTGTATAAACAATGAATCTTGGAACACTGAAAAAAAAAATAAAAATAATAAACAATAAAAAGAAATTTTAAAAAAAGTTACCACTGTTGGCATCTTTGTAACTCAAGAGGCAAAATCCTAAAGATGGTAGAGCAGAGATACAAATTTAATTGATTTCAAACATTGTGATTATGGCACATGAGGCTTGCTGCTTGTCCCTTGCGTCAGTGATACTCTCATTTCTTACCATTTAGAATACTGAATTGCTCACTCTGTCCTCCAAACACAAATTTTAGCTTTGTATTTTCCTCTCACTGTTGATACTTGCTTTTAGTGTTCATTGGTCTAACATGTTGTTTGTATTCTATTGTTTATTCCAGGTAAAATATCATCTGCGTTTTGGTGCAGGTACTGAGAGAACTTCGGATTTGCTAAGCTCCTTAGTAGATACTGGATGGAATACACACATTCTGTTTCCAGAGGTACCTTCTATAGGACCCAGGAACCCATTAAAGGATGATGGGGGAGATCCTGGTGAGCTGTCCCCCAGAATACTTACATTAATATTTTGCTTTCAAGCTAGCAGTCATATCAACATGTGTGAATCATTTTTTTTTCAGTGAGTGAAAAAGTTTATTCATTGTGGCAGTTCATATTTAAAATTGAGTTTTTATTGTAAAAACAAGCATGTAGAAAACCTTATACATTTGAAAAATATCTTCCTATTACTGTAAATCATTTCCTGAACTTTATCAGTATGTATCCTTGCATTTATATAGTCTTAGTTAGTAAACATTGGCTCTGCTGACTTAATAGACACATCTTCATAAACTAACATTGTCTGCATATTTATGGTTCTAAATTATTTTTATTTTTTTAATTTAAATTTTGGATAGTTAACATAGGATGCAATATTGGTTTCTAGAGTAGAGTTCAGTGACTCATCACTTACATACAGTGCTCAGTGCTCATCACAGCGCATGCCTTCTTTAATACCCATTGCCCATCTAGCTCATCCCCTACCCACCTCTCTCTGTTTGTTCTCTACCCTTGCATGGCTTGTTTTCCCCCCTCTCTCTTTTTTCTTTTCCCCCTTCCATATGTTCATCTGTTTTCTTTCTTAAATTCCACATGAGTGAGATCATATAGTATTTATCTTTCTCTGACTGACTTATTTCACTTAGCATAATATACGTTAGCTCCATCCACATCTTCGCAGATAGCAAGATTTCATTCTTTTTTTAAAAATTTAATTTCTTTTCAGTGTAACAGAATTCATTGTTTATGCACCACACCCAGTGCTCCATGCAATGCGTGCCCTCCATAATACCCACCACCAGGCTCCCCCAACCTCCCACCCCCCGCCCCTTCAAAATCCTCAGATTGTTTTTCAGAGTCTATAGTCTCTCATGGTTCATCTCCCCCTCCAATTTCCCTCAATTCCCTTCTCCTCTACATCTCCCCATGTCCTCCGTGTTATTTCTTATGTTCCACAAATAAGTTAAACCATATGGTAATTGACTCTCTCTGCTTGACTTATTTCATTCAGCATAAGATTTCATTCTTTCTGATGGCTGAGTAATATTCTAGTATATATGTATACCACATCATCTTTATCCACTCATCAGTCCATGGACGTTTGGGCTCTCTCCATAGTTTGGCTATTGTTGATAATGCTGCTATAATAATGTGGGTGCACGTAGCCTTTCAAATCTGTATTTTTGTACCTTTGGGTAAATACATACTAGTGCAATTGCTGAATCATAGGGTAGTTCTATTTTTAACTTTTTGAGAACCTCTGAACTGTTCTCCAGAGAGGCCACACCAGTTTGCATTCCCACCAACAGTGCAGGAGGGTTCCTCTTTTCGTTTTTTTTTTTTAAAGTATTTTATTTATTTATTTGACAGAGAAAGAGCGATCACAAGTAGGCAGAGAGGCAGGCAGAGAGAGGGGGGAAGCAGGCTCCCTGCTGAGCAGAGAGCCCGATGTGGGGCTTGATCCCAAGATCCTGAGATCATGACCTGAGCAGAGGCTTAACCCACTGAGCCATCCAGGTGCCCCAGAGTTGGTAGATTCTTTATAGATTTTGCATACTAACCCTTTCTGAGATATATCATTTGCAAATATCTTCTCCCATTCCATAGGTTGCCTTATAGTTTAGTAGTCGATTGTTTCCTTATTTGTGTAAAAGCTTTTTATCCTGATGAAGTCCCAGTCATTCAGTTTTGCTTCTGTATGCCTTTTGTTCCCCCTTCCTCCAGCAACATGTTTTTTGTTTGTGTTTGTTTTTAATTTTTTTTTTTAATTTTCAGCATAACAGTATTCCTTGTTTTTGCACCACACCCAGTGCTCCATGCAATCCGTGCCCTCTCTAATACCCACCACCTGGTTCCCCCAACCTCCCACCCCCCGTTGCTTCAAACCCCTCAGATTGTATTTCAGAGTCCATAGTCTCTCATGGTTCACCTCCCCTTCCAATTTCCCTCAACTCCCTTCTCCTCTCTAACTCCCCTTGTCCTCCATGCTATTTGTTATGCTCCACAAATAAGTGAAACCATATGATAATTGACTCTCTCTGCTTGACTTATTTCACTCAGCATAATCTCTCCAGCGACATGTTTAATAAGAAATTGCCGTGGCTGAGGTCAAAGAGGTTTCTGCCCATGTTCTCTAGGATTTTGATGGATTCCTGTCTCATATTGAAGTCTTTCATCCATTTTGAATTTATTTTTGTGTATGGTGGAAGAAAAGTGGTCCAGTTTTATTCTCCTGCATGTGGCTGTCCAGTTTTCCCAACCCTATTTGTTGAAGAGACTGTCTTTTTTCCACGGGATATTCTTTCCCGCTTTGTCGAAGGAATGTGACCATATGGTTATGGGTCCATTTCTGGGTTCTCTATTCTGTTCCATTGATCTGTGTGTCTGTTTTTGTGCCAGTACCATACTGCCTTGATGACTACAGCTTTGTAATACAGCTTTGAAATCCGGAATCCTAATACCTCCAGTTTTGTTTTTCTTTTTCACAAATGCTTTGACTATTTGGGGTCTTTTATGGTTCCATACTAATTTTAGGATTGTTTGTTCTAGATCTGTGAAAAATGCTGGTGGTATTATGGTAGAGATTGCCTTAAATGTATAGATTGCTTTGGGTAATATAGACATTTAAATAATATGAGTTCTTCTAGTTCTTAAAATATAGAGATTTTAATAATATGAGTTCGTCTAGTTCATGAGTATGGAATACTTTTCCATTTCTTTGTGTCCTCTTCAGTTTCTTTTCTCTTCTATAGTTTTCAGAATACAGATCTTTTACTTCTTTAGTTAGATTATTCTAGGTATCTTATTGTTTTTGGTGCAGTTGCAAATAGGATCAATTCCTTGATTTTTTTTTTTTTTGTGGCTGCTTTGTTATTGGCTTATAGAAATGTAACAGATTTCTACACATTGATTTTATATACTGCAACTTTGCTGAATTCATGTATGAGTTCTAGTAATTTTTTGGTGGAGCCTTTCAGAGTAATTTGTCAACTGTAAATAATGAAATAATGAAAGTTTGACTTCTTCTTTGCCACCTTGCCAGTTTGGATGCCTTTTATTTCTTTTTGTTGTCTATTCAAACAGGCTAAGACTTCCAGTACTATGTTAAGTAACAGTGGTGAGAGTGGACATCCTTGTCTTCTTCCTTACTGAGAATGATATTAGCTGTTGGCCTTTCATATATGACCTTTATGATGTTGTGGTATGTTCCATCTATCCCTACTTTGTTGAGTTTTTTTTTTTTTTTTAGGGAGGGGGGATTTTTATTTATTTATTTGACAGAGAGAGAGAGCCCAGAAAGGGGAGGAGCAGGCAGAAGGAGAGGGAGAAGCAGGCTCACCGACCAGGGTGCCCAATGCAGGACTCGATCCCGGGACCCCGGGATTATGACCGGAGCTGAAGGCAGACGCTTAACCGACTAAGCTACCGAGGTGCCCCAAATTGAGGGTTTTTATCAAGAAAGGATGCTGTATTTTGTCAAATGCTTTTTCTTCATCTCTTGACAGGATCATATGGTTCCTATCCTTTCTTCAATTAATATGGTGTATCCTTTTGATTGATTTGCAGATGTTGAACCACTCTTGCAGCCCAGGAATAAATCCTGCTTGATCATGGTGAACAATTCATTAAATGTATTTTTGAATTCAATTTTCTAGTATTTTATTGCATCCATGTTCATCAGGGATATTGACCTATAATTTTGGAATTTGGAGAATAGTATTAACTCTTCTTTCAGTGTCTGGTAGAATTCCCCTGGGAATCTGTCTGGCCCTAGACTTTTGTTTGTTGGGAAATTTTTAATTACTGATTCAATTTCTTTGCTGGTTATGGGTCTGTTCAAATTTTCTATTTCTTCTGTTTCAGTTTTGGTAGTTTGTAGGTTCCTAGAAGTTTGTCCATTTCTTCCTGGTTGCTCAGATCAGTTTGTTGCATATAATTTTTTATAGTATTCTAATTGTTTGTATTTCTGTGATATTGGTTATGATATGTCCCCTTTCATTTATTATTTTATCTATTTGGGTCCTTTTATCTTTTTGATAAATATGACTATGGTTTTATCAATTTTATTCATTCTTTTAGAGAATTCTTTGAAAAATGAGCTCTTAGTTTCATTAATCTGAAATCTCTTAATTTTGTTATTTTTTTGTTTCTATATCATTTATTTCTGCTCTAATCTTTTATTTTTTTCCTTTTTCTACTGGCCTGAGGCTTTATTTGCTGTTCCTTTTCTAGCTCCTTTAGGTGTAAGGTTAGGTTGTGTATTTGAGACTTTTCTTGCTTCTTGAATTAGGCTTGTATTGCAATAAGCTTCCCCTTAGGACTGCTTTTGCTGCATCAGGTTTAGACTGTTTTGTTTTCATTTTTACTTGCTGCCTTGTATTTTTTAATTTCTTTTTTTTTTAAGATTTTATTTATTTACTTGACAGACAGAGATCACAAGTAGGCAGAGAGGCAGGCAGAGAGAGAGGTGGAAGCAGGCTCCCTGCCGAGCACAGAGCCCAATGTGGGGCTCGATCCCAGGACTCTGGGATCATGACCTGAGCTGAAGGCAGAGGCTTTAACCCACTGAGCCACCCAGGTGCCCCTTTATTTCTTTTTTTAATGTAATGACTGTATATTTATTTTATTATGTTCAGTTAGCCAGCATATAGTACATCATTAATTTTTGATGTAGTGGTCAGTGATTCATTAGTTGCATATAACACCCAGTGCTCATCACAACATGTGCCCTCCTTAGTACCCATCACCTGGTTACCCCATCCCCCCTCCCTTCTATAACCCTCAGTTTGTTTCCCAGAGTCCAGAGTCTCTCATGGTTTGTCTCCCTCTCTGATTTCTTCCTATTCAGTTTTCCCTCCCTTCCCCTGTGGTCCTCTGTACTTTTAAAAAATTTTTTCTTTAATTTTCTGGTTAACTCATTCATTCCTTTTCTTTAATTTTTAAAATTTTAACCTCATTTGTTTTTTAGTAGGATGCTCTTTAACTTCCCGGTATTT